GAGAGAGAGAGAGAGAGAGAGAGAGACACTCTCTCTCTCACACACACACACACACACACACACACACACACACACACACACAACCTCCTGATCACTCGGAAACAGTCTGCCATAGTCATCTTTTTTTTGAGTGTGTAGCGAATATGACGACAAAAAAAGTAATAATAATAAAAAACCCGAGCTGTGTATCAACAACAGCCCCGCCCCCCTGTTCGTCCCTCTCCTCTGCCGCAGCGTGGCTACGGCGGGTCCACTTGTTTTATTAATGTTCCAAATTCCAATTATGCAATCAGACTTGTCTTCTTCGACACTCAGCATGCATACAAACAGATCACGATCAAACTGGCAACTTGTGCCCACACAAAGCTCAGAGATAAGGTAGCCAATAACACAGTTCAGATTCCAACTTGTCTCGATCGGCTATGGCGCACGTGCGCCAACAAAGATTCTCCCCCGATCACCTGTATCCCTAGCAACTTATTCACACACACGCAACTCTGGATCTCCCTGGATGTACCGCACACACTCAAACACACACACATACTATCCCTCTATTGCTAACCTACACCAGCTATGGCTGCCTCCTTCTACCTCAACTGACAATGAGAGGCTATGGCCTTCATCCTCTTAGCCCTCTTCTCCTTCGGACACCTGCAGACCTTCGTACACATGATGCTCTGACAGCGCTCCCGCACGGCTCACAGGCAGAAGCATTGAATGACTTGACACTGCCTCTTTATTTATACTTCTGGTCATCAAAGGTCTGCCCTTTGACCCTGGGCCCGGGGTGTGGTCAGTCCCACATGGTACTTGCTGACTGGACAAAGTGCACCTTGGGACTGGGTACCCGTGACTGGGCCAGGTAGATCTGGGACTGCCCTTTGCTGGCTGCGCTAGGACTGTCCTCTGCTGACTCAGACGCAGACTGACTCTAGGACCAACAAACGGCCACTCCCGGAAGATCCGGAAGACCGCAGCTACGACCTACACTGCTGCTAAGACTCCTATGACATAGACCTACATGTCAAAACCCTGCGACCGCACTATCTACAACAACTAAACATACGACTCTCAGAACACAGGTCGCGGGCTCAAACACTCACGCATCAACAAATACTGTACATGGGTGAGGGTGAGGTCTAGGGATCGAGCCCTGGGTACTGCATCCGCTACCGTGAAATTATCTAGTTTATGGCCTTTCTTTTTCTTTTTCTTTTTTCTTTTTTCTTTTTTCTTTTTTCATTTTTCTTTCATTTTTAAAGGCCAACCTCTACAGCATGATCCAGCCTGGCACTTCGGCAGGGTTCATCCTGCGGTCATCTTTCATTAGTTAGCCGGCCGGGCCGGCCGGAAAGCGGGTCCGGCATCCCTCACATCAAAATTTAAAGAATGTCACCGTCCAAAATCAACCACTGGCAGTTAGCAACTTAGCACCCAAACGAGGGTGCAGGCAGCAGAAAAGCACGAAAACTACTATATAGTACATACAGCATGTCACTGTACACGCAAAATTAGTACGTACCACAAGCAGCAAAGGGAGGAGTAAGAAGGGAGTAGTAAATAGATGCAAAAAAAGAGAGGGAGGAGAGAACGGGGTACTAAGAGCAAAAGATGTACAGAGGAAGAGAGAGTGCTGACTTTTAACACTGTCGAAAGAAAGGGCATAACTAGGTAAGAAAAATAGGGAAGTAATCTCGCCAACAGAGGTTAAGAAGAATAAGGAAGTAATATCGCCGTCAGAGGGTAAGAAGAATAGGGAAGTAATCTCGCCGTCAGGGGGTAAGAAGAATAGGGAAGTAATCTCGCCGTCAGGGAGTAAGATTCGGGTTGAAGAATGGAGCGTGGTAAAGAGGAGATTTGGGGATTCGAAGGTTAAACAAAAAAATGGCATCGTCAAGCTCTCGGCAGCAAAATTTAAGGAAGTGTTTGAGAAGAGGGGAGACGTACTTATCGAACGTGTCAAGGAAAGATGTCGGGTGACCCGAAGGTCAAACGAGCTCTGCACCAGCCCTCTGTTGAAACAGCCATGGAAGAGGGAGCGTCTCAGCGCAAGCACTTGGACCAGCTGGCAGTTATGTTCTGACACGTCCGAGCTTTTGACAGGAAAGTAGCGAGAGGAACACTGAAAAGCGCTATCGATAGTGCAGCGAAGAAGCGGTACGGCGTCAGTTTGAGAAGGAGAATCGTTATAGCCTTATAGGGAATAAGTGTGATGATAGAATATCTACGGCAAGGATTAGGGAGTTAGTTTATAGTAAGATCAGCCTGAGGGAGGAGGTATGAGTCAACCGAAGTTTCAAAGCTACGATGCAACAGGGCACGTTTCGTCTGGCTTAAAAATTCGGTCGGAACCCTGCTCCACGACCATCGACGGAATTCCCGTCAGGTTGTTGGAGATCACGTAGCTTTCAAGCTAAGCAGTTGTGACTCGTGAGGATGTTGATAAAAGAGTCCTGAATGCGAAGAATGTGGTAAGAGGGGCTGGGCTGCTCGGAGAAGAGTCAGACACTGTGTAATGAACTCAACGCGGCGTTGCTCGCAGCAGGAATAACGGGGAAACGTTCCGTTGAAGAAGCTAGAGGGTGCATCAGACAGAGAAAAATGGGGGCGTGATTGACGAGGTGTTGGCAGTACAGAGGAAGTGGGGGAAGTTTGTGTTGTGCCAACTTGACAAGAACCCGGCGGCCCAGCTTTCTACGCCAAGGGCATGGAAGCAACCTTCTGGAGTAACACCGCTTTCTCACCTGTTTGGAAGACTGAACAAAAAACGCTGATGGAGTGTCAAGAGGACTACATGACCAGAGGGCTGCAAGCGCTGGGTAAGTGGGATGAGAAAGGAACATGGAGGAGGGCGTGCGCACTACCGAAGCAGAAAGACCCAACGAAGTTCCGACCGATTTCACCGTCCGGCGTCCTTCTCAGAACCTGCAAAGACAGCTAACAGAAGAGTTGCAAAGGCGTTAAACGACCTGCTCTTCAATCTGCCGAAGAAGGAGAATTTCAACATGAAATCGACGAACAAGTTGAAGGGTCGGCTTCAAGAAGTGCACTCCTGGGGAGAAAGGGAGGAAAGGAGGGGGGAGAGATTGTGGGGGCAGCAAATGCTATTAAGGAAATGTTCGGTAAGTTGCCCCACGGGTTGGTGAAGGAAGCAGTTGAATGGATACTGACAGCGACAGGGTATGAAGGAGAAAGGAAAAACTTTGTGAGGGAGAAAAGAAGGGGAAGGGGAGCTTCCTTTGACAAAGAGGACAAAAGATGAAGACTGGGTGAAGGTGGAATTAGCCCGGATTCGAGAAATGGTGGAGTAACTGTTTGACCTTAACTTCACGTACGTGTCCGCATCAGGGGGGTTGATCAGACAAAGGGAAGGGATCCAGATGGGCAAGTCAAGCAGCCCACCGATTGGCTGCATCTTATGTGTGGGTACTATGAATGAAGTTTCTGAGAAGTTTGGGAAAGGATGGGAGTTTGCTTAGAGGAATTAGGCTTGTGGATGACGTGTTGATTTTCATGTGGAAAAAGTTGAAAAATGACAAGAAGGTGCAGAGTATTTTGAAGAAGTTCGAAGGGTCACACGACAAGAACTGGACTCTGAAAAGAACAGATGGAGGAGATAGGGAATGGGGGTTTCTGGGATGCAGGGTGGAAGTTGCTCAGCCTGAGGGGAAGGTGCAGTGTTGGTATAGAGCCAAGAATTTTGACGAGATTTGGGATGACAGCGAGCAACTTACATACAAAAGCTTCCATGATTACTGCTCTTTGGTATGTCGGAAGCAGAAAAAGCTGCTAGTCCATGGTACTATGCTCCAGAAGATCCGGTAGTCAACACTATCGGTGTCCAAACTGGATGAAAGCCTGCTCACGCTGAAACCCGAGCTCAGGAGACAGGACTACCCGGACTTTGACATCAAAAAAAGACGGTACAACGTTTTTGTCAAAAAACTGCCCCTGAGGGGCAGAGAGCTGTAAGTAGGGTAGTTGGGCTGTAAACCCGGTTGGGGTTAGACGGACTAACGGTAACAGAAGGGTTCTATAATTTTATTCTCTGTTTTGCTTCCATTTTTGTGTCAGATTGCAGAGATCTGCCTTTTTCGATAATACAGACAATACAGACCCCTATGGAGTTTCAGGACCGCTCTTTAGGGACAAAGAGCCGAAGGCCTTCTGTCGGAAGGGGGCTGTAGGCAGTGTAGGGTAACAATAAGGCCTGGACCCCCCCACAGGGTAAAACCGTGGAAAAACCGGCGTGGAAAAGCTTATCTCGGACTCCATCGGACAAAGCAGGCCCTCCGGAAAGTTGATTTCAGGACGGCGGCGAGGTTCTCCGGGACCCCACAGCCTGGAAAACGGTATCTGGAAAAGCCACATTTTTCTTTTTCACATCGGTTTCCGGTCGGAAAAGTGGCTGTGGAGAAGTTTCCGTCGTATTTTTGTGCCCTTTCCAGAGTGGGTGGGTGGGGGGGGCATCTCCATGGTTGGAAACTCCTCATGCCCATCCATTGTCCACCCGAAGCCGCTCCCTGGTCCACTGGACAGGGATACAGACATGCTGTTGTCGCCCAATAGGGGGGGACAACCGAAACAGGCAAGGCCGGACATCAGCGACCACCATCCGATCCATCTCCAGTTTGCAGCCTTTCCAAGCTCGTGGAAACGGGCTTTTCCAGCCACTCCGGTGGGGTCCCGTCATTCCGCAGGCAAACTCTTCCAAACACTCTTCCACGGAAGCCCAAAACTGGTCACAACACTTCTTCCTGTGGGGGGGTCCAGGCCTAAGGCATAGGGTGAGGGAGCCGGAAAGGCTCTATGAATAGTGAAACGTCCAACTCTCGCTCGACCTCTTTCGTTAGATGGTCATAACCACCCGGAGGATGACAGGTCTGGCTCAGGTCGAAACGCGGCGTCGGGGTAGCCAGGGCGATAGCTGTTCTCCCGGAATTTTGGATCCAGGAGTTTTCGAGAGTCCTGCTGTCGGTTCTGTGCCTTATGCTCATGTCTTCTCTCCGAAGTTGAGAGTTTTTTTTTTTTTTTGATGCGAGTTTTCAGTGTACTTGAGTACTCTGCTTTGGTGTGCTGGAATTTTGCTGTCCTTCCATGCATGTATGGACGACTGGGCTGCTCTTGCTAGCGTCACTTATACATGATCTGCACAAGCAGCAAGCAGAGAGCCTGAGCAAGGCCCCATATCACAGGAAAAAGGAAGAAAAGCGGAGCTCGGACCGGGCCTGTCCATTTCTGTTTGCAATCATTGCATGGACTTTCACTGCTGATTTCATTTTCATCCGGTTGATTGATGATGCCATCTGCTAATCATGTGAGTCTTGTCATTCATAATCCAATTGTAGAGAGAATTATTTGTCATGATTATATACTCAGATTTTTCGAATAACCTAACCTCAACAGATAATCTGATCATAATTATAGTGATGACAAATAAATTGAGATAATGCTCTAG